CACTACACCAAACTGGCTCTCTGGAGTTTCCAGAGGTCGCCATGAGTTCAAGGCAGGGGCACACACACACACACAAATGCAAAAATACCAACAAAAAATGTTTGGGGCATGAGCTTGGACTCTTGACATCTCATACCCCTAAAATCTTGTTGGTTTCCAAGGTGCTACCGGACTCGAATCTAATGGGTCTACTGCAGGCCAACACAGCCACCCGCTGAACCCTTGACATCTCATACCCCTAAAATCTTGTTTGTTTCCAAGGTGCTACCGGACTCGGACTCGAATCTAATGGTTCTACGGCAGGCCAACACAGCCACCCGCTGAAACGAATACATAGCTGTGTAGACTTTGTAATAATTTATTACAATGATTAATGAGAACTATTTCCCTTCGGCTTGGCACAAAAAGAAAAAGCGGCTTCAAGCAAAGCGTTTTTGTGCATTGTGAGCTAGAGAGTCGCTCTGTGGGGAGGGGAGGCGGCGGCTGTGGAAATGGATCACTGGGTCAAGGAGGCACTCCTCCGGTAAGGTATCCGAGAATCCGCCAGATCGGCTTCCCGGGAAACGGGAATACGATCTGGATCGCTTGCCACTTACCATCCTGCGGGGTCGGCAGAGGTTGAGGGAAGTAGTTGCCCGGTTTGTCTGTAAACAAAGGGGGGAAAAAACAATTTAGGGAGAAGAGGAACCTGAGAACACTCCCCCCCCCAGGTGCAGCCATTCCATTCCCACAGATACACTCCCCTCCCCCCCCCCGGAGTTCCAGCACGGCCTCCTCCGAGCAGAGCTACATTTGCCAAATTTTCAAATGAGAGCTTTTCAGCCGAGGAGCTTAGAGAATCCAAACAGGAAAGGTCAAGGCATATTTCCTCATCATCGTTTTCAAAGGGAAGGGCAGGCTTCCCCAATAAGCCAGGTAAATGCCCATTAAATCGGGAGCTTATGAATACAGAGGAGACGGCACAGTTTGCTCTTCGGTGCGGTCTTTCTCCAACCCCCCATCCCGAGCCTGACGCTGCCACCCGTGCTTTTTGTTGCATTTCTCTTCTTCCCTTGATTAAGAAGCTCCTCCAACATTGTTCTGTATTTGCATACTGTCTTTATTAAAAAAATAATAATTTATGACCTACCCCACCCTAATCTGGAAGGGTGCTACCCAGCTCAGAACAAATCGGAAGCAATCTCGCTTCACAGGGCGATTCCACCACCCAAGCAGAGTTGCCAGCCTCCAGGTGAGGCCTAGAGTTCTCCTGGAATTATAAATGGACTCCAGGTAACAGAGATCAGTCCCCCTGGAGGAAACAGCAAGCTTCAGAGAGCGATCTCTGTGACAGACCCGCATAAATTTCAGGTGAAATCCCTCTCCAAATTCCCCCCTACACAGGCACCAGGCCCGAATCGCCAGGAATTTCGCAGGCTGTAGTTGGGAACCCTACAACCAAGAAAACCAAGAGTCACCACAATAGTAGAACAGTAAAAAGCCCAGTAGCACCTTTAAGACTAACGAACTTTATTGTAGCAGAAGAAGAAGAAGAAGAGGAAGAAGAAGAAGAGGAGGAGGAGGAGGAGGAGGAGATTGGATTTATACTCCGCCCTTCACTTCCCAAAGGTGTCTCAGAGCGGCTTACAAACTCCTTTCCCTTCCCCTCCCCACCCTGTGGGGTAGGTGGGGCTGAGAGAGCTCTGACAGAAACTGCTCTTTTTTCAAGAACAGCTGTGCCAGAACTATGGCTTGCCCAAGGTCACCCAGCAGGTGCAAGTGGAGGAGTGGGGAATCAAACCCAGTTCTCCCAGATTAGAGGCCGCACATTTAACCACTACACTAAACTGCTACAATAAAGTTTGATCCAGCCAGTCAGCTGTGTTGGTCTGAAGCCGTAGAACAAATTTAGAGTCCAGTGGCACTCTATTTTTGAAAATATTTGAAAAAGTGTGCCTTGCACACGAGAGCTCATACCCTGAATAAACTTTTGTTGGCCTTAAAGGTGCTGCTGGACTCTACAATAAAGTTTCTTAGTCTTAAAGATGCTACTGGGCTTTTTAATATTTTGCAGCAACAGACTTACACGGCTGACTCCTCTGGATCTATCCCAGTAGTAGACTACAGCCACACTGGAAGAGGCACTGGGCCTGCCTTGCGCCCATAGGTACCTCCTGGACCCATGCCGCCGCCACCGCCCAGTCTGGGCTCCGCAGGGGTGGCGCAGACAGGAAGAGATTCTCCCCCCTTCTCCATCGTGTCACAACTGCTGCTGCGTTGGCAAAGGGCACTTGGGCCGGCTGAACAACTCGCTATTCCTCCCTTCAAGGATGTAATACACCTGCGCCCTGCATCCTTCACCCCATTCATCCCATTTCCCCCCTCACACCACCCCTGTGAGGTAGGTTAGCCTAAGGGAGAATAAGAAGTTCCAGGTCACCCAATAAGCTTCGTGACTGAGCGCAGATTTGAACTCTGAGCTCCCTGGTCCAAATCTGCCTCCTTACAATGCTCACATTCATCACCTGTGCTCTTTACAACAGCCCTGTATGGTAGGCCATTATTGGTAACCCCCTATTTCAAGAGGGGGCCAAAGCTTGCAGAACAAGATATCAGTTCAGGCAAACCTAGTGAGAGTTTGACTAGGGGTTTCCAGGGTCGGGCTGAGCCAAACTAGGAAGGGGGTGTTTTGCAAAAGACTTTGTTCCTTATCTCGGAGGGGGGTCTTTAAAACTGGGGGGGTCTTTCCTATTCACAGAGACGTCGGAAATCTGCCCGAAATAAGGAAAGGTTCATCCCTCTCTATTCTGCATCATTCATTTTCATACAGAATAAAGAAGTTTGAAACTTTCGACTAGGCCCGGGTGTTTTAAAACCATTGCCAAAATAAGACGAACTCCAGTACCTCTGCCTGTCAAGAACTTAGCCTGATACTACTTATATATAATGGACTCCAAAGTCAATCTGAGTGATTTCAGTGGAACGGGGGCCTGCCGCATGTCTGCCTGCATAGTGCCCTGCCCTGGCCTTCTTCCAAGGAGCCTTCAAAAAAAAGGGGGGGGGTTATTGATTTGTTTTTATCCTGCTTTTCAGTGGGGGGAAAACAACCTCCCAAAGCAGCTCACGTCAATCAAAAATCCAATACACCGAGATGGCGAGAGTCCATCCGTAGAAACAGACCCTGCCCTCAGGCCTGCCAAACTGGAGAAGAAGTACAATGCGATTCTCCTCCACCTCTGCATCAAATCGCGGGTGATCCAGCGATCCAGCAGAAGGAGGCTGCCCGTTGCGTCTCTGCATGATTGACTGCTCAGTCTGGAAACAGGAACTCGTGCTGAAACACAAGGGCAGGCTCCCCAGAAAGTAGGTCACTCTTCCACAGTCTAAAGGCATCCCTTTTCAGGTGTCGGAGCACATGAGCTGCAAGCGATTTCAATTCAGAGAAGGAAAGGAAATAGTGTATTTGGGAAAGGGATGGTTTACTGCCTTTCCGAATGTCCACAAAAGCAATACTCGACATCCTTCCCTTTTAGCACTGGGAGAAAAGAGGCACAGCAGTTTCCTCCACGGCGCCTTGGGCGAGCCAATCCATCACGGTCCCCCCCTGACCCCAGCTGGGATGCAAATCAAACTATTTATTACCTTTCGCGCAAAGGCCTCCCCAGACACGGATCCATCAAACCCGTTTGAGTTGATTGGTGACCCGAGTGTGAAATGCGGCTGCCTGTTATCCAGCAAGAGGGGGTGGGGTGAGGTGGGGGGGAGACGCACACTCACACAAGGCGCAATGGGGGGGCGCTCCACGCCACAAAGGATCCGAGCCATCCAATCAAAGGAAAACGGGGAGGAAAATAGATCTAAGAGCCGGCTTCATCTATTCAGCAGAATCAGACGCTGAGTGTTCCCCGGATTGCGCCCACTGAGAGATCCAAGGAAACCAGCAATTCTGAGATTCCACCCCGCCAGTGTGCTAGCAAAGAGAAAACTGGCCTGGGGAGAGCTTTTAGTGGCTCTGGGCCCTGGGGCGAAAGTCCAGCATGGGGCCCCAGAATAACTGCCCCGACCGCCCTCTGCTGGGGCCAAGAGAAGAGAGGCTCTGACCAATGCTCCCTCTAAGCTGTGGAGTCTTGTGAGCAAAAATTCTACTTTAAAGTTGTGAGCAAGCGATTTGGCTGCTACATAAATTAGTTTGCTCTGGAGCCATCCTCCCTGAGCTAGGACAAAAATGTGTGAGCCGAAGGCTAAAAAACTGTGAGCTGGCTCACACTAACTCAGCTTAGAGGGAACACTGGCCCTGACCCCGTGCCAGCTCCGAGTTGGGGAGTACCTGGAGATTTGGGGGGGGGGGGGGAGCCTGGGGAGCAGTGTTCCCTCTAAGCCGAGTCAGTGTGAGCTAGCTCACAGAGCAAACTAATTTGTGCAGTAGCCAAATCCCTCACTCTCAACTTGAATGCCAGTCGCTCACAAAGTAGAATTTCTGCTCACAGGACTCTGCAGCTTAGAGGAAGCATTGCTGGGGAGGGCGGGGTTTGGGGAGGGGCGCCAGCAGGGCATAAAGTCATAGAGCCCTCCCCCCCAAGCAGCCATTTCCTCCCAGGGAACTGATCCTGGTTGTCTGGAGATTAATTGCACTAACGGGAGGTCTCCAGGTGCCACCTGGAGGTTGGCAACGCTGCATGCGGGAGCAACAGTTGCCGCTGGAATCCAGCTGCCCAAGCCCGGAATGGGGCTGGTGCAAGGGACAGCAGACGCCCCCCCCCTTCTTGTCCCCATTGGGGGGAAGGGCTGTGGGGGGCTGGAACCCCTCCAAGTGCAGGGCCCGGGTCAGCGGCCCCGGTTGCCCATGGGCTACGACCGTCCCTGAAGCCACCATGTCAAGGAGAAAGCTGGGCAGAATCACCCTGGGCAGAGTTGACATTTTTCTTTCTCAAACACGGGTTTTCTCACTTGAAACCCAAACTGGTACAACCCAGGAAAACAGAGATGCTAGATTTCGCTGGATATACCAACCGATGCTGGGGCACGATGTAGGATTATGAGCGACAGAAAAAGGGTTATTTCCCATGTTAATAGTTATACTGCATGAGTCTAAAATACAACCACGTAACACCTCTGCAGCCTTGCTAAGAGGACAGAACAGAGAAGAAGAAGAAGAAGAAGAAGAAGAAGAAGAAGAAGAAGAAGAAGAAGAAGAAGAAGAAGAAGAAGAAGAAGAAGAAGAAGAAGAAGAAGAAGAAGAGGAGGAGATTGGATTTATACCCCGCCCTTCACTTGGAGTCTCAGAGCGGCTTACAAACTCCTTTCCCTCCCCACAACAGACACCCTGTGAGAGAACTCTGACAGAAACTGCTCTTTTTTCAAGAACAGCTGTGCCAGGACTATGGCTTGCCCAAGGTCATCCAGCAGGTGCAAGTGGAGGAGTGGGGAATCAAACCCGGTTCTTCCAGATTAGAGTCCGCACACTTAACCACTACACCAAAAAGATCAATGCTTCCAGTTCCAGACACTGCTAGTCTGCAGACCAACTAAGCCATCTTACCAAGGCTCTAGTCCTCATGAGGGTAAAATATATATATATCTAAAGGCGAAATACCTGGTGAGACCTACAATAATCAAGCCGGGTGGTATTTCCAGTGATAACGGGGTGGTTTTCCCCACGACCAAC